GCCCTTGAAGATTTATTTTTTAAAATTTGATCAAGATTGATTTATATGTCGAATAATAATGTGAAAATTGTGTGGTAAAAATATGTTTTAAAGAAATAATAATAGTTCTACCACCTATTTATTTTCTTAAATAAAAATAAAAAATTTATTGGGACAATTAAATACGATAGTAAGAAAATTTGATAAGCTAAATGAGGTCATATATTGAAATCGCTGAAGTTATGATTCAAATATTTGAATTGGATTTGGTCAAATATGAAAAAATCACATGAGTTAAAGTTCCTCTTTGTTTGAATCCTTTCTTCCTCCTCGTGACTTCTCCATTTCTTTTTTTCTCAATCTTCTCCCATTTCTGACCCTATTTATTATTTACAGTAGTTACATAAGCAAACGTTGGGCCCATCCATGTTTCTTTATTTGATTCTTGATCATACTCCCTCCGTCCCTTAAAACTTTGTCAACTTTCCTTTTTTGGATGTCGCACTAACTTTGCCACTTTCTCTTTTAAGTAAAGAATTTGTGGTTTCAGTTAATTCTCTCTCCTCTGCACAAACATCAACCACACAGTTTTTACTTTATTAATCCACGTGCCGGTCAAACATGGCAAAGTTTTAGGGGACGGAGGTAGTATTTCTCTATTTATTTAGAATCTACTCCGTCCCAAATTGTTTTGCAAAGTCAACATTTTTTTGTCAATCAATAATAAAAGTCAATGCTCGTTATCCATAATTAATTCAATTTTTAACAATTAAAATTTATATATTCAGAAACTTCATTAAAATTTCTTCAAAGTTGTAAACTCCAAATTAGAATATAATTAAAAATTGACATCCTAATTAAATATATAAAATGAAACTATTTGACCAAGAAAAGTCAAATTTGCAAATCAATTTGGGACGGAGCCACGGAGGTAGTATCTAATTCTGGTAGCTTGCAGATCCCAGCTAGCAAGGTGTGGGTACAGAACAATTTAATGCAGCAGATCGATCAGATTTTTTCTGATTCGATTTTTTACTTTCCACTCCAACTTTACTTTCTTTTTTTTTTTGAAGGACCAACTTTACTTTCTTTGATGTAAGAGTTAGTTGTCTTAGTTTCTGATACTTTCAATTCTCCGGCTTCCATCGAAAAAAATTGACCTCAAACTCAATTGTATTTTGTTAAATGGTGTAATCCATCCGTCTCGAATTATAAGATATTTTAGGGTTTATCATATTTGACCGACGATAAAGCAAATTGATCTCTGTCAACACTCAAATTAGTTTTAGAAAATAAAATTCATATATTCAGAAATTACATTAAAACTGTTACTAAGCCTGCAAAAAATAATTCAAATTTCATAAAATTTTGATATATAAGGTAAAAGATTAAGAGTGATTTGTGTTGACCAAATGAATAGGAAAAATATCTTATAAAATGGGACCGAGGGAATATTTAATCATAGGGATATGGAACATACGGAGTATATATGAACATAGTGTATAACCATATAAGTATGTTATTAGGTTTATAAATAAATTATAATTAGAGTGTTTCACTTCAACACATGAGCCATTGAAAATGTAACCACGTCCAATTGGAGAACACATATACCCCTTACCTATTTTTCAGTACCAAAAAAATGTCAAATGTAAACGTAAGGGCCAAATAAACCCAGACTATCACATTTTCTTCTTTCTTGAGTTTCTTAACACAACCTATTTATCTCAAACGACTATAATAGGAGAAATGCATGGTGTACATGTTTTTTTTGTACAGCTTTGACACACTTATCTGTATACATACAACTCTGTATGTGTGGCGTAGACAGACAAGTGTGTCAAAAGTGTACACAAAAAATGTGTACACCAAACATGGCTCTTAGAATAAAACTAGGTGTTAGTTAGTTCAAGAGATCATTTTTCTTGTAAAGTTTGGACAACATATAACTTTAAATCCAGTAACTTTAAGAGCCCGTTTGGTAGCACCAAAATAGGCTGTTTTGGCTGATTCTGCTGAAATTTATGATATTCTGGCTGGAGTGGCTGTTTTGGCTGATTCTGCTGATTTAAGAAAAAAATATTTTAAAAATATATTTTATTAATAGATTAAAGAAAAAATTATATGTAAAAATAGCTAAAATGGTCCTCTACAGTAACTTCAGCCAATAAAGCCAGAAAAGTAACTCCAACCTTACTTTTTCGGCTTATTACATAATTCAGCGCGCGAAAGTAAAAGTTACGTGTTTGGTGAAAAAGCTGGCTGATAAGCCTGATAAGCCGAAAACAGAGTTCTCCAAACGGGCTCTAAATTCTTTACTCAATTGTGGAGAACATATATATAGAAATGGGGAGGGGGGTGACCATCCATTAAATTTCATTGTCTTTTCTGTGTGCTCCTTACAATATCAACCTCCATTAGAGAACATATATTCTTCATAAGAGTAGAATACTAGAATCTGAAGCATCGAAGGCCCAAGTCATACAAACAAAATATGTGCGAATGCGAATGTGTTAGAGTCAGGGGCGGAGCCAGAGCACTGGGTCGGACTGGGCCGATACAAAGAATATTTGTGAAAATTTTTTTGCCCGAAATTTTTTACACTAAAAATAAAGACATTTTTTTTAAATTTGGGCTAGGCCAGGGCCAAGGTTGGCCCTCCCCTATCTCCGCCCCTGGTTAAAGTATCTCGGGTCTTAACAGAATGTGCGGTAAGAAAAATAGGGGACATTATACTCATATTATATACTCCGTAGAAGGTAAGAGACTAAGAGCTCATTCGGTAGCACGAAAATCGGTTGTTTTAGCTGATTTTGCTGAAATTTATGAAGTTCTGGCTGAAGTGGCTGCATTGGCTGATTCTGCTAATTTAAGAAAAATTATTTTTGAAATATATTTTATTAATAAAATAAAGAAAAAGTTATATGTAAAATAGCTAAAATGGTCATCTACAGTAACTTCAGCCAATACAGCCAGAAAAGTAACTTCAACCTTACTTTTTATGCTTATTACACAATTCAGCGCGTGAAATCAAAAATTACGTGTTTGGTGAAAAAGTTGACTGATAAATGTGATAAACCGAAAAATAGTGTTGTCAAACGACCTCTAAGTGTTTGTGGAAGTTTACTAAAATTTTCAAAGGTTAGTAATTATTAAAAGAAATAGGATTAGGGATTTGTCCAAACAAAATTGAAATATAAAATACGTAATATGGCTAGCTAGGCATAACAAGAACTCACATCGTCATATTGATTTATATCTTATCAGATTTTTTTTAGTTCATTTTCTTCACCGTTCTCATTTTATGCTAGTAGCCGTTTTATTTTAACTTAAAATAGTGTGTGTTGCTTTTGAATATACTACGTATCTTGTATGGATATGAATATATGAATATACTCCGGGGTGTCCTCAATGTGGATTTTAATGGATTTTAGAATTCCATCAAAATCAAGGTATCCTCAATATAGATTTCCATAGAATCTATTAAAATCCAGGTGTCCTCAAACATTTCATGGATTTTAACTCTTATGGATTTGGATTGATTTTGATGGAATTATAGGTTACAAATATGAAATATGTTGAAACCATTCCAGCACCAAAACGTTCTATATTTGGGGGAACTAAAAATATTTTGAAACCATATAATAGAACATACTAATTGGGATTTAGAGTCAAAACTACAAGTACCAGCAGGGGAGGATGTATGTGTAACTTAACTTTTTTTCAATTTTTTAGTATAAATTTTTTCATTTTTCATATTTAGCTCACTCTGCTAATGTTTAAGTCTAACATAATTGATCTTCAACCCAGAATATCTCAGATTCCTGGATCCATCCCTGGGATAAAACGTAAATTGCTTCATTCAATCTCAACATGATGATAGCGAAAACAAGTTTTGCCATGCGCTGCTGTGATGGACTAGCCGACTAGGCATACTCTATTCTTCAATCTGGATTACATAACATGCAATGGCTGATCTGATTTGGAAAATACTTTGCTGTGGCTTGATTTTGGATTGTGTTGAATGGTTCGGGAGGGCCACAAGCTATGGTAAGGTTGAGCATCGAAGACCGCACAGCCAATGCAAGATGGAGAAAAGAAAAAACATCTTGTTAGTAGGAGAGCAACGGAGGAAAAAAAACGTTTAGATTAGAGCCGTGTTGATAACGTGTTGTAGGGAAATGTGTGTCATTTCACTAGAAATAAAGCCCTTTTAGATATGGAAATTAGGCTGATGGGCCATCATATTACTGTAATACACATCCTATTAGGAATCGTATCAACTACATATATTTTTCCTTCAACAAAAAGAATAGTTGTCTAGTATATTTCAAGTTTTCAACCTCATGAGGCCTTTTTTCCCATCTAGTTTGGACGAGGAGAAATCAACAATCATTACTCACGCACGATTTAAGACTGCTCGAGCGTGTACCCGTGCATTAGCTAGCTATTTCTGGGTTTCAAGACACACTTAAGAGAAATGATAAATCTGTAAGTCTGTAACAGCTTTATCACTTTGATGAACTCCCACGGACGTTATAGGAGACTCTTTGGGGCATAAGTCCTGGCTCAAGGGCAGATCTTGGAGCAAAAGGGAATTGATTCTGGTCGTATTCTGTAGAACCACAATAGTACTGCTATAGAGCTGGGTCCAGATTCTAGGATTGATCATTTGTTAGGTTTGGATGGAAATGGATAGAGATCCTCTGCCATAAGGCAGAGTACCTTACTAAAACAAAGGGCAGGGATTAAAACTCAGCCCTAGAGATTTGTGCCAAAAATGGACCCACTCTTTTTATGCCATTGATATTTTGATCTGATGGTTTAAAATGGCCAAGCACCCTCCTTGGCTGCCTAAGTAAGGCAGAGGAGCTAGATCCGATGGAAATAGTCCGGCAGACCCTACTCCCTACTGTAGTGCTTAGTATCCATGATCACTTCATACTTGAGATTTGACTTCAATAGAGAGAGTTGATAAAAAATGTAATGCAGTTGAAGTAGATACGTTCCTAACTGTGGGAGTATGACACAATTTATTAAGCCTCAAAAGCCCTGTCATTAATCATTACTCATCGGTCATCACCATACGTTCCTAACTGTGATAGTTATGTAAAGCAATCAATTTCATACAAAAACTAATCAAGAAGAATCAATAAAATGTCCCTGCAATACGCTTGCCTGAGCTCCTGAAGGCAATTCTTCCTCAAAAACATAACTACACAATTAAAGTCAAGAATTTGAAATCTATTTACATAGAATTGTAGGTTGAATAAATTGGTTTATATATGTCTCCTCATAAAGAAAGAAAATTTTGAATGTTGTTGGAATGATCTTGTACCATTCATCTGCAATCCATGGAATTAAAAGTATCAGCGAGCCCAGATGGCTTTGAAGGAATGCTTGACTGTGTTTGGCTGTAGGATGATGACAAGTCACTACCAAACATTCTAGAAGTTCCTTCGTCTGCCTGCCATCTTTGCAGGGCTTGAGGAAGGCTCATATGGAGATCAATACCGCCATCACCCTCATCTTCTCCGGATCTAGAAGGCTTCCACTGTTCAACAAGTGGTCCAAGTACGTTAACAGCATGTCCCATCTCGGGTCTCTGAAATGGCTCACGTGCAGTACAGTGACCTGCCAACTCAGCCACCTTACAGATGCTCTCATAAGTTTCCTCATCCTCATGGTCAAGGTTCAGGTCAATAGCCTTTCGTAGGTTGTCTCTGTTGATAAAGACCCTACGGAACCATGTCACAAGATGTGACCTTTCATCTGGCATTGTCTCGTCCAGTGCTTTTCTTCCAGTAATTATCTCCATTAGGACAACCCCAAATGCATAAACATCCACTTTTGTTGTGACTCTCCCAGTAGCTGTCGAAACAAGAGATAAAAGCTTCAGATTTTAGAACATTATGTGGGTCAGATGGCGGAGATCTTCTAAGCAATGCTGCATTTATCTTCTCATAAAATATTATTATGTGCAAATTATTATAAAAAACTAATACAAGATTATCATACCACATACGAGCACCAAAGAGAATCTGTCTTAGTGAATGGACAAATAAAATATGCAGTTGCGAAATAACCTTTTCAGATTCAGAAAACATTTCCACTGGTATAGTGTTATATGTAAAACCAAATCCTAGTCCAGTCATTTTAGTCAAGTTTCACACATCAATGAACCAGCTCTAACTATTGTGGATGAAATGACCGAATGGTTAAAATTATCTTAACTTAGTGTACTCAAATGTATTTTTAAATAAATAAAAGGAACACTAATTAAGGGATGAAGGCGGAAGAGCCATTTACGTTCACTGCAACCCTTTCAGTTTAAGTAATATTTGCACTACTTTTTTTACAAGGCACTTTACCATTGCAATGAAGCGTATTACAATTACGTTCATCATCATCATTACCCCAGTGCCGCAAAGGCTCCCACCTACAATAAGGTAAAGGGGGTCGGATGTACTAAAGCATAGAGAGATTGTTTCTGGATGACCCATAGTGAAATTCACATCGAAAATTGCATGAACTGACTACTGCTTCATAACAAAGAAGCACATATAGTTTAGTGAGCCTTTTGCTTTATTCTATCATATTCGCAAGCCAAAAAGTAGCGAGTCTTTTGCTCCATTGCAAATGATGGAAACGTATTAGTATTTTTGTTAAGGTACTATTAATTAACGTATTTCTATTACGTTAAGGTACTATTTTCCCTCATCAAAAACTTGGTATACGCAGGTCTGTGTTGTTTAGTAAGGAAATGGTGATTAGTTTTAGTGCAATATTGGTACATGACACTTTGAGTGCATTAGTTACTTATATTGGTGTGTAATTTAATCATAAGTGACTTTTATTAATGAATGGAGGGAACAAGTGACTATAAGTGCTATCAAGCAGGCACAAATTTATCTATACCTTATATTCAGTTATAATCTTTTGGAAATAAGGCTTGGATGTTGTTTTTATATTCAATAGATAGAAAGTAATTATGAATTGCATATACTCCTACCCGGCTACCATGTTTGAGACACCATCTACATTTCACTTAGTTTTCATATAATTAGTATGCTTGGGATTATACATTTCATTTCACCATAAAAAAAAAACAATAAAACACTGCTGAATTAGGAGAACTGAAATTGATATGGCATAAACTACTACTAAGGAATACCAAGGAGATATTATGTGAGACTTGCTTAACTTTAAGGTAAGTAAATTCAAGCATACATCAAAAGAACTTACCAGCATATTCCGGTGCAAGATACCCAAATGTTCCAGCTAATCGTGTCTCCACCGAGTATTTCCCATCGGGTGCATTTTTAACCAACCCAAAATCAGCAACCTTGGCTCTCATATCATCACCAAGCAGAATATTAGATGGTTTTAGATCTCTGTGTATGAAACTCTGTTGTGCCAAACTATGCAGATACTCAACCCCCCTTCCCACATCCAATGCAATTGTCACCCTCTGCTTCCAAGTTAAAGGCTGTAATCCATACTCCCTCCATTCGAACAGATGTTGACTCAATGCACCCTGTGGCATATATTCGTACACCAAAAGCCTCTCGTTTCCATTAATACAATAACCAAGAAGAGCAACCAAATGTCTGTGTCTGACCTTAGTAAGGACAGCAATTTCTGCTTGAAACTCTTTCATCCCTTTCGTACCCATTGCTCCACTGGACTCCATCCTTTTCACGGCAATCTTAGTTCCATCATGTAATTCTCCCTTATAAACAACCCCAAACCCTCCTCTTCCTAACACATTATCAGGGCTAAAATTGTTCGTCACTTGTCTAAGAACCTCGATTGATATAGATATGTTACCTACTTCAAAAACACTAATTTCACCGCTGTTCATTCTTTGTGACTCATTTGCATTGCCAGAATATTCACTAACGTTAGTCTTAACCACCATCTGATTGGTTTTCTCAGGCTTTCCTACCCTACCAAATTTTTTATGGCGACGATTCACATAGTATTTGTAAGAAACATACAACACAACTAGAAGAAATATTATCACAGCTATAATCACACCCACAATGATACCAGGCGAAATCGAGGAGCTATTTGGAGTGGCAGGAGAAGGAGGAGCATTTGGGTTAGGACCGGGTCCAGGTGGTCCCCCAGAAGGAGCGACATTCTTCCCAAGAAATAAGTTGCCGGAATAGGTGAACTTCACAGAAGGTGGAAACACGGGTATGTCCCCAGACAAGTTGTTATTAGTCAAATCAAGAACTCTAAGCTGAGGCAAAGTAGTCAAGCTCTTAGGGATGGAACCTGTGAGATTATTATCATTCAAGTAAACATTCCTAAGTGACGTCAAGTTCGCAATGGCTGGAGAAATAACACCAGAAAAATGCTGCTTTCCAAGGTTAAGAGTAATCACATTCTTCTGCTGTGGATCACAATTCACAAACGTCCATTGCTTACAACCATCATTCCCCTTCCAAGAGTCTGCAAGAGTGATCGGATAACCAAGACCACCCGCAATAGCAAGTAGGGCAGTTACCTGGGGATCACACGGACCTGGGGTATCCTTGCAGAAACTGTTTATAGGCCCAACAATGGCCTTAACACCATCTCCAAAATTAGGCTGAGGACCCTGCAACTTGTTGTTCTGCAATGTGATATTCTTTAGACTTGGGAGATTACCAAGAGAATCAGGAACAATTCCAGTGAACTGATTGTCCCTAAGCTGCAAATCGAATAGATTGGTGCATTTTGAGAGGTCGGGGATAGGACCCGAAAATGAATTAGCGTGAAGCCATACTTGGGAGAGCTGTGTCATAGAGGAAAGCACTTCAATAGTCCCTGAGAGGCCTTGTTGCTGGTTATTCAGCCACAGATTTTGGATCTCCGATGAAGAAAACGACTGGGGGAGTGAGCCTGTGAGATTGTTATAGGATAACTTCAAGTCCTGGAGATTTGGGAAGGAATCAAAGAAATCCGGAATGGAACCAAATATACCGGCATGGCTCGCGTACAGCGATTTCAAATTAGTGCTTTCTGTCAAGTAAGTAGGGATTTGCCAAGGACCTAGGTTTGCGTTTTCAGAAATGCTGAGCGTCTGCAACTTGGGAATACCTAAAAGGAAACCCTGCGGGGTTGAGCTGAAGTTGTTATTGTTTAAGTAGAGGTCCTCCAGGTTTGACATGTTCGCAAAAGACGGCAATGTTCCAGAGAGGGAGTTTCTCTGGACGGAGAGGCTCCGGAGTTCGGAAAGCAGGGTGATATCGGAAGGGAGGCTGCCGGAGACGGACTTGGAGTCTAAGTTGATGGAGATGACGTTGCCAGTCGACTTATCACAGTTCACGTCGGACCATGAACAGAATGGGACGGAACCGGACCAACCAGAAGGCACCGGAGACAAAGCAGCGCGGAGCTTTGACATGACGGCGGCATCGTCGGAGAGGGCGACGTAGATGAGGCTACAGAAGAGGAGGAAGTGGAGCGGGGGTTTGGCGGACGCCATGGGATCTAGAAGGTTGAGAGAAGAAGCATATGTTACTCCGTCTGAGTTAGGCAGAGGGAGGGATTGTTTGGGGACGGAAAAATGTTGGGAGAGAAAATGGCGAACTATAGAAGTGGGGAAATCTTCACGTCCTTTCTTTCTTTAAAAGTCAAGTTTCAGGGTTTCAGCAAAGGAGGTCACTGGCTCACTGCATAAAAAAGGCTTTCACACCTTAAAAACGGATCCTGAGCCTTTTTTTTTTTTTTTATCAAGGTTACTCCCCAAGCCCCCCACACCCCAATCCAATAGAGCATTTGGAAGATTGTAAATCAGAATAACCAATTCTAACGGTGATAGTCTTTATATCCGTACACACTAGAGCCCCAGCCCGGCACATAGGAACCATGACCTCCACACGGTCGTTGCGAGTTTCGATCCTTGATCATTTGTTCAAGTCAAACTTTCTCACCGCTTTACCAGTTGAGCTACCCGTGCGGGTTGGGGCCGTATTTCTTTAGAGCAAGGCAAGGTGCCCGACCTTCGGGGACCGTCCAATCAAAACTTTAATGATTAGAGATTTCAAGATCCAAATCATGCTCGCAAGGCACTCTGTCGCATGGCAGGGGATGTCAATCCCTTAAAAACGTCCATGGATATTAATTACATAATATTACCTCCGTCCCTCATGCACTTTGTTCACTTTAAATTAGGTAGGAAATGACTAAATATCACGAATTAGTTATTTTAATTAAAAATTGACAAAGTTTTTTGAACAAAAATAAAAAAAAAAAGGTTGTCAAAGTCCAATGAGGTGAAAATAGTAGTAAGGTACTAGTAATGAGGTTAAATGTTAATTGAAAAGTGTTTCAACCATATGAACACCCCCGAGTCTCCGACCTAAGTACTTAGTACTACTTAAACACAAAACTACCATCAAATATTTTTGGAACATGAAATATCTTAAATAATTATGAAATGTCTTAATAGCATGCATTTCAAGGTGTGACTGAATAATAAGTAGTAGAAAGGGAACATTGAGATATGTTCTAAATTCTTTAGAATATGTTCAAGTCTCAGTACTTAATTACTTATGAGATGATAAAATAATATACGAAGTATTATGATTCTAGATTGCTTCTCATTTAAAGTTCATTTTTAGAGAAAAAAAAACTCAAATCTCAACAAGTATCGGAGCCAAAATTGGTCCATAAAAAAGATATTTGTTTGAAATAACCTTACATTTATACGAGTTTGCCAAAGTTCACCATTTTTTTGAAAAAAATACTCACCAAATTTTATCTAAACAGTAACCCTTTTGTAAAAAACGGTAACCTTCAACATTCTATTTGAAACTTAGCTTGGACAAGTCATAACTACTACGGAGTAGTATATATTTCTATCTTGAACGATTCTAATTAAATGTAAAGCTCTATATGACTGTATTATGATCCAAAGCGACAGTCATCAACTATTACCGATATAACGAGACATTCAATGGATTTAGTGCCTCTTACGTTATAAGAAATTATGAAGTTATTATGCTTACTTGAAAAGGAAGAAGGACAACTACTAGTCAACCCCACTAATAGACCAAAGGGTGTAATGGTAATTAATCCAGACAGCTGCGCATGAACTGGATGAACCCTACTGCTGGCTACTATGCAATTCCTTTTTGCTCTCTTTTATTTGTTGTTAGAGCCTTCCTTTGTGATTCCCTTTTTCTTTTTGTGCATTACAATTTGTTACCCAGTAACGTATATAGTTGATATTAAATTGATAAAGTAAGAATAATGTATGAATGATCTAGAATGATACAAACTTTACCAAACTTGGTATGTAATCAACCGAAAAGTAAAATAGAGTCATCTTAGCGGGACGGAGGGAGTATAAGAATACAAGATCATACATTACATCTCATGTGTCAGTGTGTTCCTTCTCATATACGTAGTACTATAAGGTGAACCTTTTAAAATGATTCCTAAATCTTAATAATATCATAATCAAAATCATGGTTAGGTTTAATATTTATATAATACGATAGTATTAATTCTTCATATAAAATTTCCTCGCATAAAAAAAATCAAAAGCATGGTTTTGATTTGTATTAAAAATTGATAATACCTGAACAAACAAGGTGTGATAATCACTTAAATGTAAAAATTGAACATAAATTGATGATTAAAGTTACTACTATAGTAACTTCATTTAAGAGGTTACATTTTTTGTATGAAAACTTAAAAAAAGTGACATCATGATATGAGTGTTAGACATATTTTAAGATTTCAAGATATCAAGCTTACTTAAAATATATACTCCGAACTATTTAAAAGATGTCAAAATTTCAGATTACTTTTCAATTGTGGTTGACATGAAACCTGGGTGTTGAACAATTACAACCTTTTTATAATCCTAACTCGTTGGCACATGCCAGGACTATTTAGTTGGATATGTTGGAAGAAGAATTAGAATCACGAGAGAATGTCGCATAAACAATTGATAAATGCCTCAAGGAGAAGCAATTTTAACGTGGCACGAACTAATGTCAAGAGAAAGAACCATTCGGAGGTCAAAATCCCTCTGTCACGCACTTACGCGGTTACGCCACCAAAATTTATTCGACTTGCAATGGCTTTTGGTAATGTGGCGCAATCTCATCCATTGTTCCATCCAACTCATTTTTACATTGAAAATTGAAGTATAATTCCTCTTTACATCCATTAAATACGCTCAAATTGATAAATTCTGATCAAAACCTAAATATATTTTATCAATAAAATAAAAACTATATTATATGGAAAAATAGCTAAAATGTGTTTTTTTTACAATAACTTTAGCAAATTTAACTAAAACAATAACTTCACTCTTACTTTTTCTAAAACAAATAATTAATTTATTCATTGAATGATAGCAAAAGAACACGTGAATAAATAGTACGAACTATAAGGCTACAATGAGATGAGATATAGAACGAAGAGGGTCCCACAAATCCTTCGAGATCACTAACTCCGCAATAATGTAGTCTAGTCTAACAGTTTTGTTTCTCCTCTTGCTACTCCAAAGAAAAACTAAAAATACAAATAAAAGACCTGACTTCACCAATTAACAAAGGAAATTCGACAAAATAGAAATCGATTGAACCATCACTTTGACCAGCCATCAAAAAGCAAATCCAGTTGAGCACTAACTTCTTCTCAGAGTGAGGCGGTGGTTCAGCAGAAGGCCGAGCAGTTGAAACTTCAGAAGAACTGAGTTGAACATGTCTTGCTAAGAAATTCATCACTTTATCGGTTACACCGTCAAGGAGCACATGGCCTCTAGACGTTGTTAGACCAAAAACAAATTTCACGCTCACCTGAAGTTGAACATAACTTTCGGTCAAAGAATAACCTGGACCAAAATCAGAACCCTAAAAGATATATTAATATATAAAAGCACACTTTTTTTAATGAATAGTACTTCCTCCCAAAAATGTCAACATCAAGCTTTAGTCATTATTTTTATTTAAAAAAATAATCATAAAATTGATCATTGTTTGACATGGTAAAAAAGAAAATTACTATTGGTAAATAAAGTACATTCAGTTGGTTAAAAACTATCCGGTTTATGTGTTCCCATTGCCTACAAAAAGAGAGGAAACAGTAACATTTTTGATTGACATGTTCTTTGACTCCTGTTGGTTAAAAAATAAATGGCATTGTGCACTCACACACAAAAAAGATCGTAGGAATCCCATGGAATTGATTTGGTTGAACTACATTTTTGCTATTGGTTAAGGTGGGTGGTGTGAATAGTCAATTGAAATCCTATTGGATGGAATGGGTGCAGTGGCGGACGTGCTTTGTTCAAGGGTGTTCAGGCGAACACCCAAAATTTTGAAAATAAAATGTAAAAATACATGTATAAAATTGATATAATAATTTATATAGTGTATTTTTATACAATGTTTGTTACCCTTAACCCTTTTTGCTAGTTTTTTGTTGTTGAAAAAATTGTATTTCTTCAATTGTGAGATCAAAAAACATTGTTGTACAATATTTTAACCGTGAATTTTTTTGAACACCCATTTTCCGGTTGCAAGATCCACCACTGAATGGGTGGCTGGAATAGTATTCTTATTTATTGTTTCTAAGTTCCTAACACAAATTGGTTGAGAATGAACTAGCCAATGTAGTTGGACCTATAATTTCCCCTATAAAAGCAGCCTCCGGGAATCCTTAAAATCATTTGCGATTTCAGAGTTCATAGGCGAGATATTCTCTCTATCTCTAAGTTATTTGTGCTCTCATCTTCTTTTAACTTTATGTAAGTGTATATGTTTATTTTGACAGGTTACAAAAATATACTCCGTAATACAAGCACCAAGATGCTCCGTTTGTAAAGTTCATATACTATGATGAACTATTTTAGTTAGTCTATATCCTTAAATTGGATTCTGAAACTGTAAGGGCCTGTTTACTAACAGAGATATTTTCCAGTTTTCCAGAAAACTGGAAAACTGGAAAACAGAAAACAGGAAACATGTTTACCAAAGAAATTCCTAGAAAACTGGAGAAAGGAAAAAAGAAAAACGCGTTTACCAAATCGTTTTCCAAAACGGAAAAAATGAGACATGTCTCTCTTTTCCTTATTGATTTGGAGAAGTGACTTTTACTAGTTTTCCAAATTTGGAAAACGCGGATGCTACAGTGCCGCTGCAATGAATTTGCATACTTACACCTAGTGGTGGGTCCGGTCTCGCTCCGATGTCGATTCCATTCCGGTACCTCCATCATTGTACCTTACCCCTTACCCCTACCCTACCCTACCTTACCCACCCAACCCCACCCCGCATACCCATCTTTCCCTATAATGACCCTACCCCACCCCGATCCACCCTACCCTACCGCCACCCCTACCACCTCGACCCCACCCCGACCCACCCTAATCTACCCCCACCCATATATTACCCCTTACCCCTTACCACATGCCCCTACCTCGGCCCCACCCCACCGCCATCCTACCCCCACCCTCGTACCGCCATCCTACCCCCACCTTTCTGCCATCCTACCACCATCCTACCCCCTACCCTTCCGCCATCCGACCACCATCCTACCCCCCACCCCTACCCTTCCCCTATCTCGGCCCCACCCAGATCCCGGGCCCACCCTATCGCCATCCTATCCCACTACCCCTACCTTACCCCAACCCCAACCCTAC